GAGTGACTACTTAAATAAAGGATAAGTCAACAATCGCTTGGTAGAAAAATATAGCATGCTTACGTGCTTAAACTTCCTAAACACCGAAATCATTTGCTTATAAGTCTAAGTTTTCAAACTTTTACAGGAGTGCACTGTCAGACACAAATGAAGCCACAAAATAGGCGACAATTAAAGGGGGTTTTCGTAAAGTGAACTACGCGAGTAAGGCAAGATATGGAGGTAAGTCGACTTACATCAACCGTGCGATGAGACATCGGAGGTATGCTAATAAAGGAAAAGAAACAAGTAGTCACAAGTGCTTTGAATGGGAACATGGATTAGGCACAAAGGTCATAAAGGATTCCCGAAAGAGGCAGAAAGTGAAAAGAGGAAATTTCCCTAGAAATCAACGATCGGGAGGAGTTCTGACAGGAAGATTTTTAAGCAGCCTGCTAGGGAGAGCAGCATCTAAATAGTTCAGCGTCAGGGCACACTCGCAGATTTTCGGAGATTAACCGATGACTGTTAGAGGTAAATGCTCATTACTTTGACCGAAAAAAGTAATAATCGAAGTTTGCTTAAGGCAGGCTTATCCAAGTGGCGACAGACTTGCGAAGCATGCCAGTTAAGAAGTCAGTTCCCAATGAAAGGAAGGTTTAAACCAGTACCCAGTAAGAGGTATCACCTATACTGCATTAAAAAAAGGCTCAGAACAGCATCGGTCGAAATGACATGTCAACGCAGCGCACTAAGTCACGTAAGATTTGCATTCACTGATGTACACCGATCGCTAGATATGGAAGGGTAACTCTTGAAACTGCAGTCCAGAGTTCATGAGGGCAGTTGCATAAGCAATTACTAATCAGTAATTATTATCCATAAAGACAATGGAGAGGTTCTAGCAAAGACATAGTTGCACGTGGAGCAGAGTGCAAGTCAGTGAGGGCATAGGTCCAAGGCGCAAAAAATGCTAGTTCTGAAGTTGCCACTCTTGGCATAAAAGAAAAGCTCAAATATAACCCTGGTCCCTAAATTACAGCCGACCACTCAACTGTGGGCCCACAGTCGCTGGTCGTCGATTGAAGAACAGAAACTGCTGATGCCTCTAATAGGCGGGAAATCCACCCTAAAAATGACTTATCGGGTCAACAGCTGCAAAGGGTTCAGCTCTCCACTTCATCGAGCTTAGTAAAAATAGGCATGATCAGTCAAGACGAATCAGGGAGACTGAGAACGAATCCCACACTCCCAAATGACAGGCATAAATTCAAGAACAAGTGACCCGTGAGTTATGAAAGAACATACAAGAACACACGTTACCTATTAAGGATACCATCGAGCTGTGAGGCCAGGTGGAAGTCTGGGGGAGCGAGCGGTTTACCGAGTTCCGGGACAATGGCAGACGTCTGCGTTCCGTCCACAGGGTTCAGTTTGATGGCGACAGTGGGAGTCACAATATTGGTAGGCCGGATGGAGTGGACACTGTTCGTTGTGATAGAGGAGGGCCTAGACACGGAGATACTGAGACTCGTAGGCAGCTGTACGGGTGTTAGGTTCTTAGTCGACCGCAGTACAACTGTCTGGCCTCCACGCGTGGCAATAAGCTGCTGTGGCGCACGATTGTTGTTTGAATTAGTAGTAAACCGGATGAACATAGTCTGGCTGTTCTGAGTTGGAGGCAGTGATATGCGTTTGGACTCATAGACACCTGCGATTAAAAGGCAAGTAAACGTATGGACTGATGGTATGGCAAGAATGGATATGATATGCCATTACAACACTGAAAATCCTAATAAGATAGCTATTCAAACTCAGTTAGCCGGAGATGTTTGCCTGTATTTATAAGATTTCGTAAAAATCGACTATATGTATAGGTCGCCCACCCAAACCAGCTGTTGTAAAAATGCAAGTGAATTTTTCACTGACAATACAGTTAGGCACCGGGCTACCAGGTTTCCTATGCCAAACGCCAGTGGCGACAGACGAGGCCCTATAGAAATCAGGACCAATACGTCTCAGCGTATGAGACCATCCACTCAGGATCTTCATGAAACCAACCTTCGGGCGAAATGAGAGGCCATAGAAGAAAAGAACAGTGATTTCACACCAATCGGTAGCGAAAGGCGAGAAGATGTAGCCGAGATTAGTAGACTAATAACAGGGACGCGGTGACGATCGCGATACTTGTCATATGTTCGTGTAAAAACTAACGAGGCAAGATGGATCGGAACCAGAAAGTAGAATTAATCAGTATTTGGCAGGCTACACTAAAATAACGACCAAAACGTCCGCCCAAAAATGCAGGTAATTAGCAAATACAACCACAAAGTTCTTGAGTTAGCAGTACAACCACAACTGACATTGGAGATAAAATATCCACCGAATAAATCTGGGCAACAACGGCTGAAAGGGTACTCACTGGCATTAGGAAGTCCAGCATGCAAATAAGTTCGTTTTTCTGCAGGTGTGTAGTTTAGGGGCCGAGCGATGTTCTCCATCTGTGGCTCGCCGTTAATCAGGGTGCGAACTTTGGGTGCGGACACAACAACGGAATCGAACGATGGAATGTTCATCATACTGGGGTTAGGCGCTGGTGTTGACAGGGACACTGGATGGGAGGAAATCACGAATTAGAGTATTACTAAGATGTATAGCTGTATAACTACAAGGAGAAAGTTGGTCTTAAGGAGAGTAACTTAAGTAACGCACTGACAGGCCCTTTATGGCTAGACCACAGCGTTCGAACGTCCTTCAAGTAAGGTGTTGGACCCTTGGAAACCGTAAGCAAGTGAGAAAGCATGAAAAAGCTTCCTGCAAATAATATTTGACTAAAGCCATCATTATAGTAGACGGTAACATTGACAACCAAATACACGCTTAAACGTACTGGCACTGACGATACGTGGAGCAGAAGATGGATGTTCCAGGGGCGATGGTCGAGGCAGTGGCCTTGTCTCAGCCCGCCCCAATCGGGGAGAAAGAGGTAGATTCTCAGTAACAATGGAATTCGGTCTAGTAGAAGATGTGGGCAACGAGATGGCATTGTTGATTGACGCTGTCATAGTCGGTGAGACCATGTGACTTGATTGTCGAGAAAATACGGTCGTCGGAGGCGGAGCATCAGTGGGCGACTTTCGCGGCGGACTAAGGATGATGGGTCTAGAAACGGGCCGCGCCTGAGAGACTGGTTCCCGTCGAGGTTGATGCACGTAACCACCTCTGGAGATAAAGAGTGGTTTGGGTAAGGAATGCGATGTTGTCGGGATTTCACTGTGGGTGCTAAATGCCGGCCTCCCGGTGGTAGAGGCCCTATGTGGCTCGGTCATCAAAGACGGCTGGACGAGAAGAGGTCGAGAAATGGGAGGGCTTGGCCGTACCGGCTCAGCTGATGGCTTGGGGTAAACAGGTTGGACTGTTTTTTTAGAAGATTCAACGCGGCTGCGTTCCGTGGAGTTTGCGGGCATTAAGGCAGGTTTTGGTGTGGTGGGGGGAGCTG